GAATCCATCGTGCTCAGATTCGACTGTTTTCAAGGTCTGAAGGCTCCAAATGCGTTCGGTACACGTGGGAATTTTCAGTGTGGCATGCATGGGTCAATTGGAGTCACTAACATCAAGATATCTATTAGCATAGATAAGAAAACCTGGAAGTAACATTTCATAATTTAGTTAGAGTAAAAACGTATCTGCCTCTACAGCCCTTTCAAATGGAAGATATGATGCCTTGAGGGGTAATTTCTATCAAATATTTGACAGTGTCATGGTTCTTCTAGTGAAAATGGGTTTAGGCGGTTTCTTCTAAAATGTGGTAGGTCTAGTCGGAAGACATATTAAATGTTTATGCTAACAACTGCAAAGGGATATTGCAACGCATACAAGTTAACAGAATTTGTTGAAATGGTCCTGCCCTTTGCCTTCCTTCAGAATCCCATCTTTTTCAAACTATTCTTTTCCCCTCTGGTGATGGCGAAAATTCAAATATTGATGGGACATAATCAGCTGATAATGGGTTATCTTTCCTTTTTCCTGAAAAAAATTACACACTAATCATCGTTCGACAGTGCCAAGTTTGTGTATCAATGAATTGATGTCGCTAAGAGCTTCTGATTATTTTCTGCAGGAACACTGGTGGTATTTTCACGCTTATTAATAGAGTAACAGATTACCTGCTAACTAACAATCAGACAACACCTTCTGACCATTGATAAAGATTTCTTTCAATTTAAAACGCAAATATGCCTACCCTTAACTGTAGTTTTTAGGATATGGGCTTTATCTGGGGGGAGGATTGCAGGTGTAACAACTAAATCACATGGCAAACCACAGTCTCTCGTACGATTACCATTCTATGTCGGGATTAGTTAAGCCAGTTATTTGTTTTCAGAAGCATGGACTTGATGGTGGGGGATGTAATCGTAAGCGACCAGCGGTCGTGTGAACCACCCTCACAGTGGGAGGAGGGCTGCAATCCTCTCACACGTAACTATCCCCGCATACAGGCATGGGATTAGAACCTGCGAAACTACCAGGGTAATCAGTAATGCGGTTAGCGAGCGTATTCCTAGATGGCAAATTCAATTGAATTCTGGTTATTTTTTGCCTGGCGTTAAACTTTAGTTATCTATTCAAATTTTCACACTTACTAATAGATTACCTGCTAACTAGAGAAACAATACATTATGGCAATTGATGACTAATTCCTTACACAAGTCAAGTCAAGTTGACACGCAAGTAGGCCTACGCCTACCAATAACAGTAGTTTGTCATCTGCTTTCCATTGAAATGAGGGAGCTCATGAATATTTGAATAAATTGATAACGGCACATTATCACTTAGCATTAACGAAGTGCTGTCCGCAAACAGTGGAATATAACTGAAGATCCATTTCGTTGTCTATAGTACTATATGCACAGTCAACGGCACAATACGAAATAACCATTTTCAACAGTCAAGCAAAACGAAAACGTATAATCCGACTTGCAACTGACAGGGGCGAGCTGGACGTTTGTTTTTTTGCCGTCCAATAAACCAAGTCACGTGACCCGTACACAGGGGCGTAGCCAGGAATTTTCAAACGGGGGGGGGGGGGGGGTTCTAAAATTTCTAATTGCCAGGTTATCTGGACGGAGGCCGGAAAACGCGAGTTTTCAAGTAAATTGATGCTCTAAAAAGCGTTCCAAGCCACGAAAAGGTGCAATGTATGACACAGAAGAATGTATTTAGAAATTTAGACTGAATATGTCAGGATTCGATAGGAAAAAGTGCTACAAACGGAAATGCGAACTGAATAAATCGCATTATTCGGTTACAATCACGTCTCTTCTACGTTAGACCACAAGCGGCGTTTCGCGAGTACCGGTACGGCATCAGTAAGACATATTGACGTTAGGAGCAGCGTAGCGCGCAGCGGTGTCTTCTGAAAATGAGTAAAAAACAGAAATCGATAGCTTCATATTTTACAAGACCAGGGGGGAAGCGATGACCAAGGACAGGCATCTTCTTCCGTAGTGAAAGATGCTCTTTCAACATTCACATACGAGTCGATGTCCAAAGAAGTGAATCGCACTTCAACAAACGAATGCGAACCAAAGTTGAAAAAGATGAAATTTCACTTGGATATCGGTGATTATATGCGTGGATCAAATGTCGATGATCAAATGAAGTACGACTATTTGACCAACCATTGGGTCCCAAGCAAAGATTTCGTCTTTCCAAAGCATGTCCGAATGGTCAGTGGAAAGACTATTCATCTGTCTTTTCAGCGAGCGTGGCTGGAGAAATTCAAATGGCTGACATACAGCCCGGACAAAGATGGCGCTTTTTGCAAATCGTGCTTGATCTTTGCTCCTGTATAGCTTTAAGAGGTCACATAGACCATGGAGTTTTGTCGAATCCGACAAATTTTGAAACCGAAATGAACGAAGGAAATTTTCGTGCGTTATTGTGATTTAGAATTTCCTCCGGCGATCAAGATTTGTTGAATTATGTTCAGAATGCTCCTCTAAATGCCTTGTACACGAGCCCACAGATTCAAAATGAGATCATCACACTGTGCGGCGAAATGATCCGAGAGACCCTCGTTAAGAAGATCAATAAAATCAAGTATTTCGCCGTGCTTGCTGATTAAACGAGTGATATAGGGCGTATTGAGCAATTTTCCATCTGTGCGAGATACGTTCAGAATGAGCACGGTATCTACACCCTCCGAGAGGATTTTCTCGGATTCGTCGAAGCCGTCGATTTGTCCGGCCAAGCTCTAGCAAAATTGCTGATGTCGACGCTTACGAGCTGGGGCTTGGAGCTGCGTAACATCGTAGGCCATGGATATGACGGCGCCGCCAACATGTCAGGCTGTTTTCGGGGAGTGCAGGCCGTCGTTCAAGCAGCCTACCCAAAAGCGTGTTACACTCACTGCTGCTCGCACTCGTTGAACCTAGTGCTATCTCACGCGTGTGGAGGCGAAGGGTTGAAACGAACAGTGCGGAGTATAAGAGACGTCGTTAATTTTTTCTCTAATAGTCCCAAACGCACAGGAATTCTAAAGAATGCTATCATAGCACTCCTTCCACAAAGTCGACACACACGTTTGATAACATTTTGCGAAACCAGATGGGTGGAAAGACATGAGTCAATTACAGTATTCTGCGAATTATATTCTGCCGTCGTTTACTCTTTGGGCCAGATAGAAAAATGCAGAGACAGAGTTGCCGCTGATAAAGCAGATGAATTTAAATACAGGATAATGAACGCAGATTTCATCTGCCATTTACGTATACTGGACAGTATACTTGGCATTACATATCGACTGTCAGTTATCCTGCAGTCAAAAGATCTCGACATCATAGGCTGCTCTCAAATGCTTAACGACGTTAAGGCAGTTTTACACCACATGTTGGATAACGCACAAGAGAAATTTTCAACGAAATCAGCGTAATGACCAGTGATCACCAAATTCCGCTTGTTGTGAGTTCTCTGAATTCGACTAGGGTGGATTTGGAGAGTCAGGTGCGCGAAGATGTGTTCAAACCTTTCCTGAGCAAGACAATCTCCGAACTTGAAGATCGTTTCGGATCTACTTTTCGGTAAGCAACACAGTGTTTTGGCCTTATTTCGTATCGCATGATGATGCAGCCATGCAATATGCTACAAGATTCAGATTTCTTCAAAATATATTCAGAGGAGTTGGAGTCGTGGACGATGGTGGAGTCCGAAATAATGCTCTGGAAGAGCAAGTGGACACAGCCGATCTTCCGAAAAACGCTTTGGATGCGCTAAACCATGCTTCTGTCAAAGCATATCCCAACGTTCGAAAATTACTGCAAATAATTTCCACACTTCCGGTCACAACTGCATCTGCCGAAAGATCGTTTTCACAGCTACGTGGTTTGAAAACATATTTGCGGAACACCACTATGGAAACCCGGCTGAATGGTTTAGCCCGGCTTCTGATGCATCGGGAAATTGAAGTTCCAACAGAAAAAGTTATTCTGGCATTTATGCGGAGGAAAGCTCGGCGTTTAAAGGTTATATTGTAAATATACCTCATTCTTGGACCTTGTAAAATCGCGAATTATTTTTGGTTCACATTGTATCATTTCTTTCCTGCAATTCTTTTCGCACTGTACTACCATGTTATATAATGCAAATAAAGCCAAATTTAGCTTCGATGTTTAATAGTTTGTTCATAGCAGCTCGACTACGGAGCCATTAAGATTTCTGCGCTTATTGTTCATGTTGCAAGTCACTTTTTTCACCTCCCAAAAGGGGGGGGGGGGGTCCGACAGGCTACGCCCCTGCCCGTGCAAGTCCTCTGTGTCTATACAGTCTCGCATACTCGATAGGACGCCCCATACAGAAATCTTTCCGACTAATCTCCTCGAGTGGTTTGGCACCTATTAACAGAATGGGACTTGAATCCCGTTTCAATATGCGGGCTAGTCTTAATTAGTACGAGTATTTATATTGGTCATCATGTGGCTCATTAACTTAGGAAACCGTATCTTAGTTTTTCTGGGCGACGTTCAAAGGAAAGTATTACTGTATATAGTTTATCTTTAATTGTTCTGGCCGACGTCCCGAAGGAACGTATTATTTTTGGTATTGATTATTGATTCATACTGCCGTGTTATTATGCATCCACGTTGTTTAGTGAACATGCACCAAATTTTCTTATGAAGCAATCGCTACATTCTAATAGCAATTTCAATAACGTAAATTTTAGATAAATTTCGAAGCCAATTAAATCACTTGACTACCTCACTAATACGTTTTCAAACAGTTTAAATATCTCTTGAAAAAACCAACCAACCATCCGTTTGTGTTAATCATTCGTTTACCGTCATTTCAACGAACGTCGCTGAAAAATGAGATGATGATATTCGGAGTCTTTGACTTACAACTCAACTCCAGTTCAATCTACGAGTAATTTGGGACTATATTTCATAGATTTTGATCAGTGATTTTCAACCTTTTTTGTGGAGCGAAACCCCAGTAAAACAATCCAGGAGCTCGACGAGCCCTCTTGCTATAGTTTGATTGTATTTTGTTGTCTGAATTATATAAACTATATAATATATTCGTAATGACTAAACAAAAGGACCTTTGAAGCGTAGAAAGTTTGATTATAGTGACAAACCTAATAGGGATTTTATTTCATTTAGGCAATATACACATATATATTAATAGACTCTCACTCGAAAGAAATCTTCAAGAATCCCTCACTGCACTGTACTAACCCCGATTGAAAACCATTGATTAAAACTTTGTGAAGGTTATCATTTCCAGCGAGGGCAAGTTTTCTGTACAATACAATACTCCGTACTGCTTATAATACACAAAGGTAATTGTATAGGAAGCGTTTTCCATTTTATCAACTCTATATCTTTCGCGCGCGACGAATTGTAAAAGAACTTTTGTGCATCAATACAAGTACACCAGCGCATCGTCCTCCAACATCCTATCGCATTGAAACAAAATGCATGAAAATTGTCAAGTGCAATTGCGCGCCATGGCTTCCAATCCGATCAAAAAATGTTACATGATTAATTAATTATCTACAGTTGGGAATCCAAACATTATAACTATTTTACTGTTCGTATCGTGTCTGAAAAACTTGTCGCAATTTGGTGAGAATGCAATTTAGCAGAACTCTATCTCCGGTATTTCTCTTAATCGGTTTAAATTTTGGAATTGTCTTCATCCTCTTTTTCTGATCGTTTTTTACCAAAGTTGGGACAAAATGGAATGAATCTTGTCCAACCACAGTCAGTTTTAAACGGAAGATCATATATAGATTCGTCTCCTTCTTTTCCGTTTTCTGTCACATCACCGTGTTGCCATCTCAGGAGTCCACGACTCTCTTTTGATCCTATTAGTGAATAAAAAAGTTAACTCGTATTACTTTGAACGGGTTGAGATTTCAGGATTTTATATTTATCGCAGGCTATACGACGGCAAAACTAAATAGCAAACCCTCATTGATTTTTTTCTTACCATTTTAAGTTATGGAAGTCAGTTACCCAGTTTATTTACATCTGAGACCAATATGAGTTTGATGATAGACGCTGTAAGCGACCAGCAATTTCGTGAACCAGATTGTGCCAACGATGTTAAGTATTCTCGCTCAACACTTGAGAAAATATTATCAAATTATTCTAGTTCCAAAAATGGATCTAAAAAAAAATTTCTTCGGTGAATACTTTACAAAACACCCACCAGGCATTGTGTTATCCAAAAAACAGGCGACGATAGAAGAAACGAGCATTCCAGTTCCTAGTATTGCACGAAATATTTCGTTCAGTTCAGTAATTCCAACGTCGATGCCTTGTGGATTTTGCTTCAGATACATTTCAAAAGCAATACCCATAAATACACTGAACCCAAGAACGAACATGTTTCTGTGGAAGAATAAAATTATTGAAGATTAGACCGATTCTTTTGGTTTTAGCAAACTCAGATTTTAACAATAATGCAGAAGAATCAGATGTACAGGTACAGTATACAATTGAAACAAATGCATTTCATTTTATAGTTTATGGGACTTGGCATAAACATAACACGTATATAATTATTTATTTAATAATGATAATAAAGGTTTCAAGAATTTTCAAGAACCAACCTCAAACAAGATAAGGATTTTTGTTCAATATTCATCAATATTACCTTGTATTCGATAAATCAGCATAAGCAGCAGTACCCGCACCAACACTAAATAAAAATCCTGCCAAAATACATAGTTGACCTCCGACCACAGGAAGCGGCAAAGTAACAAAAACGCTGCAAAACTTTGTGATCAGTCCGAATACTACAAAAATGATTCCCATTGCTTGAAGTGCCTAAAAATTTTAATGCGTTTAATGCTGTTAAATAAACGATTAACAGTTGATAACTTATGTTGCACTATTTTGGTGTATGGCGCTAACGTACCCTTCTACTGTGAATTCTGGTCACTCCAAGTCCAATCAAATTTGAAGCAGATGTGGTTGTAGCGTTTCCAGTTCCTACTAGTCCGTGTGCAAGAATTCCAAACCCTTCAACCATGATACCCCTAGAATAAAAGTAATCCTTTAATACCGTATGAGTCGTTAGTTAGTCTATTATTTTCAGAAAATAGCGTTGAATACTAGTTGCGAATTGAGTGTTTTGAATAGCTTAATGTAAAATATTTACGAGGTCATTTTGCGAAAGTCGTAATATATTTGTATTTACCCTAAAATGTAGCTTAAAATAAGATATGCAAATTACCTGCTGATGGCATGTTTTGGAATAACCGGACTCTTGACGATTTTTGCACTGGCATAATAATCGCACAAGGAGTCGACAATCCCAACAAGAAGAGCGGCTATGAAAATCAGAACAGTTGAAATGCTGAAAGTCGGCCATCCCCACTGAAAAGGGTAGGGGAAAGAGAACCTGAAAATTGGATTAATTTGGTTAAATCGAAAGTTATTTCTCTACCCGTCGTAGATCGTTTCATCATTTCCGATTTTTGTGGAAACCAAATGAAAACGGATGATTGCGTAATAGAAAGAAAGGAATTGAACACTTCTTGTAGGGACAACAGCGTAAATAAATGTTCGAGTTAGATAGATTAAGTAGTCAATCCGACCGACAAGCATGTTCCAGGTAATATAGCATGTTCAACAATTCACGTTTTAAATATTATGAAATAAGGCTATAGGCCATTAACTTTACTTATATCGTTAAATTTATTTTCATCTCACCATGGGCTGTTAGAAATAACATTGGGGGATATATCTGTTCTCGCTCTGAAGGCTTTCATTGATTTATCTTGCGGTAACACATTGGTTATTGTCAGAATGTAACTCAAAAGCCATCCGGAAAGTAGAGCAATCAGAAACTGTAAAAAAACGAATCATTTACAAACTAGGTAAAACATATATATATATTTGTGTAATAGGCTATATAATTCTTCGAAGCGATTGGGTTTCAACCTATCAGAGTTCGCGACATTTCTAAATATTTGTAGTAGGGTGGTTCACGTAAACGCTGTTCGGTTACGGCTTCCTCCACCATCAAGCCCGTGCCTCCGAAAACTAATAACTAACTAGTCTCATACCCCGACATAGATTGGTAACCGGACGAGAGGCCGTGGTTCGCCATATGGTTTAATCGTCTTATCATCTTCCTTCTTCCCGGGATAAATACGTAAACTCTATCCTATCCAATAGCAAATCTTAATTAAACTACTTCCTTGGAAATACTTCACTGATTAAGGCGCACAATGCAATAAATACAGAGAGTGTTCAACATGACTTTTTGGAGTGAATACGAAATATACGTATTTGTACAATATTACCGGAAACATCGCAAACAAAGGTTTCTTTGTTGATGAAAATTTCTTCTTTCTCGTGCTGCAGATAGGCAACGGCACATTTACTTTGGACAAGTATTGGAATACGATAACGATCAATATATAGCTGAAAATATATGTACCAGAAATGATAAGTTTTATTGCAAATTTTTAAATAACTTTCAAATAATTATTAAACAAAACACTCACCACATTGGAATTCCCCAATAAATGCTACAGAATTTGACAGCCACATCAGCTAGAGAAAACGACACAAGAAAAAGGCACGATCCAATGGTCAATGGTCCAATAAATCGAATGGCAATTCCAATCGCTCCCGAAGCCCCGATACAAATTTGAGCAATGGCGACAATGATAATCGCTCCTTGTGCCTATATTTTTAAATACAGTTTGCATTCAAAACGATGATGAATTTCGTCATACTAATAAAAAAATTGCCTAATTCACTTTTTGTCGATTTTGGTATCGCCGGATTTGTTGAGGAAAGATCTATCTTTCTGTGTTACTTAAACATTCATATCTGGTATAAATCAGTCGCTTGAGGGCAAAACGAATCTGCCTGTCTCAAGAAATGGTGTCGTTACGACACTCTTCGACGAGCGAGGCTTTCTGGTTCAAGTGGGGTGTACTGAAATATATATTTTAACATCTGGACGCTTACTCTAATCTGGCAAGAACTTATAACATAAATATAGAGCAAAAGTTTTTGGTGGCCGGACACACACAATTGGGATGTGACTCGATGCACAGCGTCATTGAACGAAAGGTGGTAGGCGCCATTTTTTCTGAAAGAGATTTGATCGTACTTATGCAATCCGCAAGAATCAATTCATCACCCTATCACGTTCGCTAAATGAAGCACACTGATTTCAAAAGAATGAATCAACTGTTCCTTCAAAGCATTAGACCCGGGAGGAGAGCAGGAGATCCCTAAGTGCATGATTTGCGTGCCCTGAAGTACGAAAATGATGGTAGTATGTATCCGTTACAAGCTTTCGTTTGTATAGGGCATAGGTCGATGAGCGGAATTTCGGTTTAATGATTTTCCAAATTCATCGCTGGATTGAAAAAAAAAATGGACATTTTAAATCAATTACCCGACCGCAACCGAGAATGCGACCCGTGCTCTTAATATGAGTGTTAGCGATTCGTGTTTTGATATATAAAAATAAGTAGTTTCGATGCAGACTATCGTTTACCTCTCTTATTCTTGTCTGCCAAACTTCATCGCTTCCAAGAAATCTACCGTCATTATCTTGATACAGGTAAGAGACGTTCGAAGACCAAGTAAAATTGACATCAGTAAGGTTTTTAATACGCAAAGGACATTTCCATTTCTCACCTCTCATTAACGCAGTGAGAGAAACAAAATGAGATAACGAGACAATCTGACCTATGGGCAATCTGAAATAGATGAATGTGTGAAATAAATTATGGAATATTTTCAATTATTAATTAGTTGAATGCAATGCAATGCTGTTTTATACGTTAACAAATGGCTGTACATTTTTATCGCTACTGGTGGGAGTTGGATGTATTTTAAAATATCCACCCACTATAAAGAATAATAAAATACACACCTTACGCCAAATGTCGTCTGGACAAACGACACGACTCCCGCCAAGAAAAAGAATGCTCCTATAATTTTTGTTTTTGATATTTCGGTTTGTGGACTGTCATCAAAACACAAAACTCCAAATAACATCAACGGAATACCAACGGCACCATCTATGGAGAGAAGAAAGTGCTGAAATGTAAAACAATACTGCATATTATGTATTCCTGATTTGTTACTAACTTTTTGGGCCAAAAAAAAAGTTAAAATGGCATTTACATTGAAGCAGAGTTGTCCCCGAATTGAATGGTTCAGCCAATACGATTGATTTGAAAAAAATGGGGACCATCCGAAATAAATGTTTAAAAATGATAAAATAAAAATTCTCTCAAAACAAGATGGAAGCAATCGATCAGCTGGGAATTGTCTTAGCAGCGCCATTTTGAATCGGCAAAACTTGAGTGAAAATGGGCCCCCTGAATTTCCAACAATAATTATTATAATAGATGGAAAAAAAACTTGAAAGTAACAGATTTTACGGAGTCGTTCCCGTTTTCAGTCGCAGGCTCGTTTTTGTTTTCAATAATAATGATATTGCTTCAGATATGTAACATTGACACTGAATTATTATCTGGGCACTCGTGTGCTCGTATTAAGTCCAATAAACAACCTTTCTCACCTGAATTCCCATAAGAAAGGTCAACCCAATGGGTGGGTTTTCGTTAACTCCGTATAAGACATCATCCTCGGCTTTTTTATCTTTTCTTCTTCTGTTCGTATCGATATTATCGCCGTTAGAAGTAACCCCAATACTAGATATGCATATTTCGTTCACCATTTTATACTTTATATATAAGCTAGAACAAAAATATATTTTACTTTTATTGTTTAGTCCTTCAGCGTCGCCTTACATGCAGCAATCGTATCATAATATTATTATTTTTATCTCCTCGCTTGTCTGTCTGTTAGTCGGGCTCGGATGAAGTATTTAGCATAAATCTCGATTAACCGGCACTCAAAACTACATTTTTTCTACCTGGAATTAACCAACGCGCATTTGGACATTGTGCTTCAACGTGGCGTCACACTGGATGAATCGAAGATTAGAACATTTTATAAATGGGCACCACTCATCCGAATTCTCAAATTATTCTTTGCAAAGTTCGTTGTCGAAAATAATTGTTCGCACGCATATGTAGGCCTACTTCCAAACATCGATGTGAATTTTTTCGCATGGTTTGTCAAATTTGGACATAGATTTCTTTCAAGAAGATACTATTTATAAAAATCAAGCATTGATACATCTCTCGAAACGAACATGGATGTTATGTCCTCATCGCATTGCATTTCAAGAAGCTCTATTCGAATACTTTCTGCGACATTGAACCCTCTGCACTGAACATCAACTTTTCTGCGTGTTGACATTTGTCTAATTATAATTAAATTGCAGGCTCGTTAAACGAGTAGCTGTTCGCTAAATTGTAATAGTATATATAATCTCTAATCTACACAGGTCTCACAATGAATTCTGTTATGAATAAATTTAATCAACTCCTCGAGCGTGGATTATAAACTCAATCCATCGTCAAAATCATCGTTTTGACGCTATACTTCAGTGAAGCGGCGCTGCCCGAATTACTATACACCGCGGGCCTGCATTCCTTGTTAAGATGTTTTAAGAGACTGTTGTTGTTTACATTTAATATTAATTGTCACTAAGGACTTGTGTGTTGTATTCGGGATGAGGGAACAAAGAACGCCAGTATAAACGTATATTAATGGATCCTGCCGCAATTCCCCATACGAATTGATTTCGAATTTGACCGACTATTCGAATTTCCCCACTATCGCATCTGTTTTCCTTATGGACAGTGTATGTACTCGGAACTATCATATTTTCCATTTTCACCAGGATTATAGTACCCTGCCAAAAATGGGCGTGGTACTTATCTGTTTTATCTAGCGTATTGAAAAATATGTTGTAGCCCAAAATATTGGCCCAGTGTGACAGATATTGTTTGTCTACCTTGTGTGCTTGCTGCACACAGAGTAAATTAGGATCTTCAGATTGAATGAAACTTTTCAGTTCATTCAAATGTGCTTGAACGCCATTTTCATTCAAAGAAATAAATTTGATGGCATCCATGGTTCCAATAATGGGTGTAAAATTTTGGGCTACCGTTTGTGGCAGATGGGTATGATAGGTCAAAATATTGTTGGATTACAGTTATATCGTAAAAGACAAAGTAAAGTTTAACTCATCCTTTTTTCTTTTACCCAGTGATTTCTTTGGTCAAAGATTGCTCTGGAATGTTGTTGCTTTCATTGTTTTACACCCTTTTTCCCCTTCCCCAGCGGATTTCTCCTCTAGGGTGTGAATTGTGAAAAGTGATGATCCAGATGATAAAGTGGATTCGCGTTTTTTGTTAGTTTGTGTAATCCATGTTTCCCAGGTCCGTGTCGGTTATGTCCAAATTCAATTTACTTAGCAAAGTCATGTTGTTTCCTAAGTCTGCCGGCGCTGATGTTATCTCAAGCGGCGAGTCGCTGAACACTGAAGGCGGTGTTGTTTCTCCAGACTCGAAGTTGTGAACTAATTGCAATTGATATTGCAATTTGCGGGGGTGTTAATATCGGACTGATTGGGCCGCCGGTGTACTCACATTCCGACCAGTCGTTTATTTCACTCGAGGATGAAATTATATGTGTGTCCGTGTTTGCCCTGTTTTGGGTTTCTTCGGGTTGTTGAGTTTTTTCTTCCTGTGTCTTTCTGTTGAGTGAGTTTTCCGAATTTTTGTTCTTTGCTTCGTTTGCATTTCGCGTTGTGTCTTTCTGTGTCGCGGCCGGGACCTTTTCAAAAGTGAGTGTCTTTTTCTGTGTAGTTTGTCATGTTTTCCACCATGTTGTTGCTTTCTGGGGTGTTTTTTTCGCTTGGCGTTGTTTCGTCCGAAACAAGTTGGTGCTCATTTTGTTTTGTCTGAGCTCGTCTATGTTTCGGGATCTTCCAGGTTGTTTTTTGAAGATTTGGATATTCTTTTGCCCTCAGATTGCAGTTTTCCTGGATGTGACTAGGTTCTTTACACCCCGGCTCATTCTCACAATCCGTGAAGAAGTGGCCGGTCTGTAGGCACCTGCCACATGTGGGGACATACAATTCCTTTGGCAGGAAGGTCTTGCAACGTACGTCCTCTATAGTGACATAGTCTGGCAGCCGATCCTTGTCGAAATCTTCCGTTAGGAAAGAGGTGTAGCCTCTAGGGCCTATACACATCAGGGCCCTTTGGTAGTTCCTGACTGCACTTCTAATTTTTCCGCAGCCAAGATGGTTCACTATGGCGGAGGCTGTGGCAAATGTTGTTCCGGGCGGTATACTTCGGACGGATATCCGGATTGGCGCCTTGGTGGGCAAAGACACTTTTATGTTGGTGTTGTGCACTCGGATGTTTCCACCCGTTTCACGCAAGAAGTCACCTCTCACGCTTGTCTCCGGATCTTCCATTGCTGAAAAATATCAGTACAACCCGATCCCATCATCTTTGAAAAGTCCAAGTCCTGTTCAGTCCTCAGGTATAAGGTCCTTGGTCTTGTGGTAGTCCGAGTGGTTGAGGAGGCAGCAGCAGAGTATGCCATGCTTCCTTGATAATCCGAACTTTGCTTTAGACATTTTTAACCTTTTCCTTATATTTCCAAACTCTCAAATAATCTGCTATAAGGCTGATGAAGAGGCCCTATGCGATAACGCGGCGGGAGGGCCTCCCCAAACTAGACCTCCTGGAGCGGGGTTTTGACACCAGTTGTCTGCTGTTGGAGGTGAGTGCGCGCCGAAACAGGTCTTACTTTAACCAAACAGCAACAACAGACTCTTAAAACAACTTAACAAGGAATGATTAGGAGTAGCATAACGCGCTCGAAGAGCGCGACGGAAAAAAAGGTTACACGCATGAGCGAGTTGATTAGAGTGTTACATGTAATAATTTAAGGGAAATACAAATAAACTAGCGTAGTGCAAGTAAACTTTTCCCACAAGATCAGAGGTGTAAATACAAGATACAAAGCCCAAATAAAGCAATTGTGCTCGAAGATGAATATGAGTTATTGCTATATTCTTCCTACTGCGCCATCTCATTATTCTAGCCGTAAATTATAAGTCAACGCTAAGTAAGTTTAAAAATTATTTATAGCAATCAAACATCGGTCTCGTCCTATGCGTCTATACACATTTCTAGTCACATCATGTTAGGTTAAGATAAATAAAATCGCGTTTGCAATAATTTTGTCCATAACCCAACCTTGTGTTTGTAACCCAAAATATCAGAAAACAAAGAAAGAAAAAAAACAGGTATATATTAAAATTCCTCCCGTGTTACTAATTCACTATTTCCAATAGTTCATCTGGAGAAGGTAACAGATACGATGTCAATTACACCTACAGTGATGACTTCCACACGGCCTGTTTTATTTCTGACAAATTTTCATCCTTCCATGACATATATATATACTAGGGCTGGGAATTTCAGGGAAAACACTTTAACCGTCAACCGGGTATAATTAACCGGTTAACCGCAGTGTGACGTTTGACGTAACAATTTATAATTTTAGCTTGTTACGTCGCAATTTCGCGTGATTATATACCGGTATCGCTCAAAATTATTCACGAATCGATAAAGTTTCGTGATCGCTCTGCTACAAGAGATATGGAGCGTGCTTCGAACATATGGAAAAATATCAGTACAACCCGATTCCGTCATCATATGTCATTTATGTGACAAATTTCCTGTGCTCGATGTGCAAATACTACTTTGAGATATCATAAAGAAAAACAGCGTGCACTTGTTCGATGACATCGAATATACGATTTTGCAATTGAATCGTGAACAATATATTTTGACCGGGAACTGATTCCGAATTTATCATTGGCAAATTTTCATAGTCAGCAATCTTGGTATTTCAATTAGTTTTCACATTTATTGGGTCCTTTGAATTTTATGCACTTCTATTTAAATTAACAATGGTACATTTGCCAGTAACCCTGGCCTCCCCCGCGCAGGGGGGGGGAGGGGCAAAAACGGTATTTTTAAAATAAATACAAATAAGAATTTAACCTGAACAAAAAATTAAATTGAACATGTAAAGAAAAACAAGTCAATATAAAGAAAGAGTATATACGGTTTATCTAACTGAGCCAGCCCCTCAAAGAAATATAGAAAAGAAATCATATGCAGAAATACCAAATATAAAATTGTAGTGAGGGGCTGGCAAACTCGGCGATGGGTTCTAAACATGGAAAAATATAACTGAATTATAATTATCGCTCGCCTTTCCTATCAACCTGGGTGAAATTCGGAATCAATAAAAGTGGAAAAATTTAATGAAATATCAGATTCAAATGAGGACTATCAAACTAATAAAACCCCGTGAAAAGGTGTAATAACTGCAAATTAAATGTGGGATACCTTAGGCAAGCAGTATACACCAATATATATATACGGTATATATATATGGCATCTAAGTGGACCCAAGCCCATCGCCGAGCGTGAATTTGTGGGGGCAAGTGGTTGGGAAAGAGTGAAATACAATAAACTAATCCGGGCGGCGATATCATTAAACTTAATTAAATGAGCAAATAGCTCAAACTACCTAAAGAAACCACTAATGGGAATCAACTGGGCGAATATGGCTAATTTAACTACAAAACACACACGCAAGCTCGCAAACACACCAATACAAAAAAAAAGATAATAAAACAGAGAAAAATGCAGTGTCGGAAAAGAGGGTGAAGTCAGATTAGCCGACATTGTCAGAAAGTCCGCACCAAGCTCTCCAGACGCGATAGGAACCTCGGATGGAGTTCCTAAC